TTAGAACTTCACCAACCTGAATCGAATGTACTAATAAAGTTTGTTTTATTAATATCTGAGTTATGTTCATGACATTGATGAAAATATCACTCAAATGTTGAAGCTGGTTCATACGGGGCTAATTCTCATCTAATGTAATAAAACATCATTCGTTGATTATTCATTGCAGAAATGGCCACTCAGGGGAAGCTGGGGAAAAAGGAACTCAAAAGGCAGCCTCTAGCTAAGACCTCGCTCGCCTCACCCTTCACCCCAACATGGAGCCCACTCCCCCAGGTAGACATGCACTTCATCCTGCAAACCCTGAAGGACAAACTGATCTCCGTGGGCCTTGAGAAGAAAGAGGTGAAAATCTTTCGCCAATGGGGGAAGAAGAAGAAGAAGGAGCAGAAACCTGCTGCTCCCCGATCAGAATCAGCCGCCCAGGTGCAGGATTCTCCCAAAAACGGCTGGACAGATGTGGCGGCCAGACGACAGCTGGCCATTGGTATCAACGAGGTCACCAAGGCTCTGGAGAGGAATGAGCTCAGATTGGTGTTGGTGTGTAAGTCCGTCAAACCCAATCACATGACAAGTCACTTGATCACCCTGAGTGCTACGCGAGGAGTGCCGGCGTGCCAGGTGCCCCGTCTGAGCCAGAGCATGTCCGAGCCGCTGGGGCTGAAAAGTGTCCTGGCTCTGGGATTCAGACGCTGTGCCTCCCGTGACGAGGAGGTCTTCAATGACACTGTTGATGTCATTAAAACCAGAGTACCTTTACTGAACGTTGCATGGCTACCGGGTGGTGCAGCTCCACTGGGTGGTGCACCCACTGTGACACTGGACAACCCTGCAGACATGGAGGATGTGACAGAAGCTGGAGAAAAGGGAGGCCAGAAAAGAAAACTGGAGAGTGACTCTGAGGAGGTGAAAGAGTCTCCCTCCTCCTGCACTCTGCAGCCGCTCATAGTAAAGAGAATAGTTGCTAATCCTGCAAAGAAAAAGAAAAAGAAGTAGACTTTCAAACTAAAGAGAAATCTGGCTGGATATTTGAAGGACCATTCCTGTGTTTTTTCAGGTTTGAGCCCAGAGGCTCCCAACGTTTTTGACTCGTGACAACTATCCTGGTGACGTCTGGTCACAGGTTAGGGATGTGGGACAGATTTATTTTTCCTTTTAAGATCATTTAATTTGGGGAACTTTTAGAGGCTTTGAGAGGTGAAAATAGCCAATGTTTTATTATGTTATCATGTTGTGATTGTTTTCTAACATTTCAGCCATTCAGCATTTAGTTGATAAACACTCAGTAAATCAGCTCAACAAGACTTGAAACTTGCTTTGTCATAGATCGTCCATCGCAGCTTCTCCACTGTGAGAATTTGATGCTTATCTTTGTCACATTTGAAAGTTAACATCTTTTAGATTTTGGGTAAATGGTTGAACAAAACAATCCATTTGAAAATTTCATCATAGGCTCGCCACATTTTCTATAGACAAAATTATTAAGAAAATAAAAAGTCAAATTAATTGAAAGGTGTTTTGTCAGTTATATGATGGCATGATCAGTTACCAGTGTATCATTACTGAAAAATGTGAATTAAGTTGAGTAAAACTGTTTTTTTGCTGCACTGACATGAATGGAGACCTGTAGCAGGATAGACTGACAGTAGGAAAAAACTCTTCTACATTATGGTTTGGAGGATGACCTGCAGTTTATATCAATCAGTAACTTAGTTAAAATATTTAAGGACCATATTATGATGATCCTTTAAATTGATTTTTGGTCAAAATGTGATTTATTGGCCTGAAACAGACACAGCATTGAACATTTAAATTCACGTTTGTAATTTTTTAATTGAAACAACTCACAACAGTGTGTGGATGTTTGGCTTTTTGATCATTGTGACAAAACCGAAGAAAGCCCGTCTCATCCTCACCAGTTTTATGGTCAGAGTTTGGAATGAACACGCCATAACAAACCACAGACGTGCACCACTCATGTAGCTTTTTCAGTGTGTTTATTCAATCAAACATCCATGCTGGTATAGCCGACGCGTGTTGGAACAGATTGTTATTTGCATGGGGTCATGTCTTTTATGATGCTGGTACATGTTCTTCAGCTTTATCACAGCTTACAATGGATCTGAATAAAAATATTGTTCTTCAGTTAGAGAAAGCTGTATGTCGGTTCAAAAGTACATACCCACCCCATCCCAAAATCTTAAAATAAAAAAGAAACAGAAATAATATCTTTAAATAAGGCAGGTACTTCAGGTTGAGTTCTCACTAAAGGGTGTAGCTAAGTAACATCAACTCTAAAATCAACACGGCAGCAAAACTGACATGCTCAAAGTTCATTCAAACAGCTGCAGGCAACACATCTGTGACAACCGACATCCATGAGGCACACTGTCGACTCAGCAACTGATGTCAGTGTTTGAGTAATCCTGGTAACTTCCGTCTGTGTGAATGTAACTCGTTCAACCTTTCAATGGTAAAAAGAAAAATCTTTGAACACTATTCATCAGTTGTTCTTTTCTTGCTAATTCATAAAGGGATGAGAAGAAAACTACATCACATAGAGAAAAATCAATGACAAAGATTGCAGCAGCCTTTACCTCTTCAGTTACGCAGAGCCACAGGAACATCGAACAAAAGGGACAAAGAAAAGACCGTTTGAAAACATTTCAACCCTTAAGAGTAAACCACCACAGTGTGCGTGGTCTGACACACTTGAAATCAACCGTTTCACTGGAATTCTTAGGGAAATACTGGAAAGAAAAAGGAGAAGAATGACGTCTTAAGACACTTTTGCAAAGAACAATTATAAATATCAGAACTGTTTCACGCTATTAGCTGCACAACACACTAAAAAAATAACCTACAGTATATTTTTCAGACACACAAAATACAGTACCATTAAAAACAAATCTGAGAGAAGTCAATAAGAACGCACCTGGAAAACCAGGAAATGCTCACATTTCAAATTGACGCGGTTACTGACACAGGCTTCAGTTGATTCAGCCGTTCTCTGACTGCATGCTGTTGGAAATTACTTCAGACCGTTTGAGAGTTGTGCTAAATTCTCCAGAGTTTGAATGACAATATGTTCAGAAATGCTTACGACCATAGTGTTGTACTTCTGCAATTTTACAGGGACATTTTTTTTTCTCTTTCTTTGCAACAGGCTACCTAAAGTAGGAAGTGATAAATGCTCTGCAAGCGGCCTGTGCAACGATGACTGCAAATAAAACTGATCCTTGCTGTTTTAAATGTGACTTAACTGAGAACATGCACTCTGTCAAAGCACATGCACAATTTCCACACTATAAAACTGCCTCTAGAGAGAAAAACTGACCAGTTTGAAAATGTGAAAGTGAAAAGTCTAATTCACAAGAATGTTGTTAAACTTGTTTTAACCTTTGCCAATGTGGTTTTTAATTTTCCAGGAACTAGGAGACGGATCTCGGTGGAAAAACTAAGGCATATTTATGAGAGAGATGATGCAGAACCAAATAATCACTGGACCTAAGGAATTTAAATGTGGCATTTTCTCTACTGAGTGCTATTCTAGTGTGTTTCCTCCCAATGTGTCACTACCCTGCTGAGCACCTCTAGAAACAGTTACTTATTCAACAGCCTTGCTAAGTGGACAGCTCACATGCAATCGATTTAAGTTCTGCATGAGCACATCAGGTATAACAATCCAATAAAATATTGTAAGAGAGTGGTATTAAAATGGCATCTCTAGAAACAGGTTTATAATGTGAAAACAGCTCAAATCCTTAAAATAAATTAACTAACAAAGTTTACACTCTGTTCTGCAACTCATCAGTTTTGAAATCTGGGCACCCCTTCCCTTTAAGGAACCTTCTTCTGGTTTAAGAACTGAAAAATTGTGCTTCATTGATGCAATACATTCTTCATCAAAGCCCCTTAATCCTTAACTGTCTGAACAAACTCAGTGACATCTACACTACTTAAGAGGAAAAACACCTTGGATCAGCCCTCCCGCACCCCAAAAGCACACTACAGGATTAAATATGATCTGACTCTAAATGTACAGGTGACTATATATTTTCAACAAAAACATGTATATTAATGCACCAGCAGGATAAGTCCTTCCTCGTTCGGTATATTTGTGATTTAAAGGTATGAATGTTTGAGGTGAAAAAAGTGAGAGGTTTTTCTCTTATCGAAGAAACACCTCAGGATTTCTAACTCTACTGAGGCCATGACACAACCAGCAGAGATACTTCAGACCACATTGATATGAGAACACGTGGTAATAATTGTTCAGTTGCTGTTGGTATACAATAACTAATTGTTTGGACTTGATGATCAAAATTAAAAAAGTTGCTGATAATATCAGACTGTTACTTGCTGATCATCATTTACATCAGGGGTGGGGAACGTCCGGCCTGCGAGGCAATTTATATATACAAAAGAAAATCAGTGGAGGGCGATAAAAAAATGTCCTTGGTCGCACTGGTCCGCCTAACATTTATCTGGTGTGTTTGTGTATTTGACCGAGCCGTGTCCTCTGAGTCAGGGAGTGAGGCAGAGTTTACACTCACATAACTGTTTGTTGTGAAGAGCGACGAGCAGGCAGACACACACACACACACTCAGTCCTTGAGGAAACGCTGGAACACTAACCTAATACAACACAAAAGTCAATATTTTTAATAATGCACCAAGTTAGAGGTTTTCATATTGTTTACACATAACCGAATCAAATCCAGACCTTGTGAATGGGAATTAAATCGGTTTGGGAAATCAGTGACAATACCAAGCCGTAGTTCAGATATTACCAATTTATATGGGAACCGCCAATAAATAGTTTAAAGGTACAGTGTGTAGAATTTAGTGATATCTAGTGTTGAAATTGCATGTTGAAGCTGAACACCCCTCACCTCACCCTCCCCTTCCAAACATGAAAAAGAAACTGGTAGCTTCAGTTGTCATAAAAACTCAAAAGGTGTTTAGTTTGTTCAGTCTGGACTAACGTAAAAAACATGGCGGCCTCCGTAGAGAGGACCCCTCGATGTAAGTATAAAGTATTTAAATATAAAGGACCTTTTCTGGGTTAAAGAAAACTACAGTTCACACAATTTAGATGAAACAAACTCGTGAAAACATCATGAGGATTATTCTACATTAAAAATCTGCCAATTGTTTCATTTCACCTAAATCTTACACACTGGACCTTTAAAAGTTATTTCATTGTCGTACCAAAAGTTAGACGCACCAGTGCAACCAATGTAAAGAGTTGATCTGGAGCCCTAGAAAATGTGTCAATAATAAACAATAATTTACTATGGCCCTCCAAGGATGTTATAAAAACTAAAATGGCCCCTGATAGAAAAAAGGTTCCCCATCCCTGATTTTTTTTCCCTCAATGAAATTAAACAACACGCCCGTACCTTGTAACAAAGTGTCTGCTGAGGAAGAGCTAAACAAAGACTCACAAATGTCAAGGCATCCTCTTGAATGTCAAACTGATGTGTTTTAAAATGTGAGCGTTGGTGTCAGGAGCATTGTACTGTATGAGTATCTCAGGCATAGCATGACTTCACATTCAGGATGTTGATGATTTAAGAGTTTTCAGCTCCGGGTGAACTGAGAATGTTCTTGATGACACAAGTGCCGGGTGCACCGCCGCCCGGTCACCAGGTTGGTTTGACTGTTGAAGTTTTCATTGTCTAGCTTGGGCTACCTGTATGTCCAGGTAAGGAGTAGCCAGAGGTCACAGAAAACCTCTCAATCTGTATTTTTTGTAGCTGCCGTGAGGACACGTGCTACTGAAGGACGAGGCCAACCTGAAACACAAGAGGTTTATCAGTCTAGACAAAAAGAATAGATACAGTGTTTGAGCTGGTTACATCAGCCGAGGGAAAGTCTTATACATCACAATATTAAAACATGATGGACCAAAAAAGAAACTACTGTTACTTTCCACCCCTGATTCAGATAGTGCTGTCGTTAGGTTAGCTTGATCAGTTATTTACCCCCAGCAGAGTTATACATTCACAATTGTTATGTTTTAATGGTGGAAACCGATCCAATGAGTCTCTGGTTTGAAACTAGATCCTAGTTCCTGAGAACAAAAGAAAGATTTAAACCAGAAACTGAGAGAAAGATTCAGACTTTTCATATTCTAATAGCTGGTGTAACCCAGTACAAATGAATAAGAACTAAAACAAATACCACATGAAACACAGATATGCATTACTAATATAATACTCAATAATTAATGCCCCCTCATATTGTCCATTTTTTGTACATGATTTGTCACAAACAAGCATAAAAAATAACCTACACTTTGCCAACTGATTCCTGATGTGGTGACAATCATCATCTCAAACCGTGTTACTGACCTTATCAGGGTCCATAGGGGGACACTTCCAATTGTAGAGGTAATACTGCAGATTTCCATCTCCTATGCCAAACTTGAGCTTCTCCAGGAACACCTTATTCTCCATTAAATCCAAGGCATTGAACACGTCAAAACCTTTCTGTTAAACGCATAGAAGAAGAAATCACAAACCCAACATCACAAAGAATCACATTTTTAAACATCTAGGTCCCAACTTAACTCTCAAAACAATTCTATGGCATTAACAGCTGAAAAGAACAGCGTTAATTTGAAGTAGTATTACCAGTTTAGCCAAGATCAGTGCATCATTCATTAGGTCCAGTAGCGGAGTTTGTGTATGAACATTGTAAAAAGAATAAGCCGCCTTCAGGCTCCTATGGAGAGGATGATGCATCACCGTCGAGGGCAGAGTGTAGAAACTAGTGAAATCTGTCAGTACGCCACCGGCCCCCTGAGAAGACAGAGAGACACAGAAGCTGTTTAAACACAGAACAATCAACAGACGAATCTGTGTCAGTTTTTATTGAACTGATTCCACATACCTCTACTACGTATGTATCAATGATGTTGTCCTGTGGCAAAAACCAGTGAGTGACCTCCTCTTCTCCCATGGAAGGTGCAAGCTGGAAACGCTTAAGGTATTTCTGTAGCAGTTCGGTGACTTGGCGGATGTCACGTCTCTCCATCAGCCGCAGTCCTGGAGTTTTGATGCTCTGTATGAGGAGCGGAGAGTGAGAGGAAAAAGTCAATATGAGTTCCTGCCATTTGTAAGAGTTATACAGAGAGATCCCTGAGTGACAGTGTGTTTAGAGTGTTTACATCTGGTAGTCTGTAGAGTTTCATGGTTCTTTGCAAGGTCATGTTTCTGCTCAGATGGGAGAATTTAACTTCCACAAGTTTTCTCGGGTTCAAAGAACGATGCCAATACCTGTACAGAGAAAAAGGAATTAAAGGAGTATTCGTTTTATTAATTATTTTTTCACAACAAGTCCTGGGTGCTTTATGTCTGGATCCTGCACAGTTTACCTGCATGTGGACACAGGTTTCGGGAGTACCACTCCTGCTGTGTATACTGCCTGAAATATTCCCTCCAAGTTCACCCTCCGTGTGATCTCTCTGATGAGCACAGGAGCCACACGCTTTGAACGCAGCTTCTTATGGACACACAGGAAGTTGATTTCTACCATCCTTTTCAGCCTGGAGCAACAGAGAGATGGATTGTGTATTAGTGTAGAGGAGTTTCCTTTAAATCTTCAATGCACAGAGCTCTAAAATGTGTATGATCAGTTGCGAGCGCTCACGTGTCATAGATGCGTATATCTGCAGGGATGGCACTAATGAAGCCAACAAGCTTCTTATTGGAGGACACTCTCACTCCACAATGCCACTGTGGTAACCAGCCAGGTGGACGCAGAGCCCTGAGAGGGGAGGACATTCTTAGTGGGTGAGCAGACGGTTGAATACTGTATTTATTCACTTGTATGTATTTGAGCAGCTGATCAGAACAACAGAAGGGAAAGCTTACCATTTGAGAAAGTTTGGTGAATAATCAAATCTGAACATGTTATCATCGTCCTCCACATAGTTTTCATTTAACAGTGTGTACAGCTCTTTCAGCTGGAAAACACACAGCCAGTCAGTTATTCGTTTTGTGCATCAGTTCTGCAAAATATAGTTATTGTTTGAGTATCTGAGACAAACACTGTACTCACTACATCTGCATTGCTGAGATCCAGAGTGTCCCACATGAAGCCTTGAGGTAAGGAATATGGCTCCTGTCTGATGTTTTCTTTGTCAGCTTCAATCGGCCCGTGACTCGTCACAACTTCGTCTGCAAAAATAGCACAGAGGGATATCAAACTATTTCCCCAACAACCACGATTCCAATGGAATACTTTCTTGTTGTTACATATAGCAAATGCAGGACTGATCAATCAAGTATGTTTTAAAATACATTAAAAACGGAGACATTCATAAAATTTGCTTCTGTTGAGCTCATGTTGACCAAACTACATCATTGCTCTCTTGCATAGACCTCACTCTTTGGACAATAGTTGTCATGGTAACAGTTCAATATAGAATCACTAAGCATGCCTGGATCCCCACTGTACTTCACAGCTGACAGGTTTTTGGGACAACGGCTTTTACAGAGCAAAGAATATGACAAGCCAAAACCAGGAAGTGCTACCAGTGCAAAGAACAATGCTAAACAATCCTGATATACAACCGTATGTTGACAAGTGAGATAAAAATGTTTAAGTTAAGATACATATTCTAAGCAATTTCTGTATATGATTGGCAAAGTGACTGATTAATAACAATCAATGGCAAAAAAAAGCTTTAAACATAACATTATTATTTTTGCAGGATATTTTGAATATACTTAATTCCAATAATAAATAAACAAGGCAGTACTTACTTAGCTTTGGCACAGGCTGAGTGTCCCAAAACTGGTACTTGTGCTTGGCTGCCTCGTCGATGCTCTTTGCAGGACCCTGGCAGGACAGCAGCTCCATGGCTCTTTGGATGTCCTGCAACTTCTGAATGGGTAAACCAGGGTTCTGCATGTAGAACAATGGACACATACATGAGATGAGACGTGCCTTAGGTTTGAAGACAACACCAATGAATCCCTGAGTGTGTGACATGAAATGCAAGACAGAAAGACTGTACAGTATATATATATATGTCTTGAATAATTCAAATGTGACAAAAAAACACCAGATTATTAGAAACTCAACAATTCTTACCCTGAACCTGTTCCCCGGAGGATTTTACTTTTCACAACCTTTACTATTCCTCAAAAGCTATAATGGTCAATACTTTCACAGTTTTTACTGCTCGCTCTTCACTCTTGAATAAATCCAGAAAATTTAAAATTCCTCAGTCACTCTGTCATTTATCAGACCACTTAGCATTTGGCTTTATTGTCCCATGAGCAGACCATACTGAAGGTCATGAGCCAAGGCTTTATACACTGCCCTTATTGATCCATTCAAAATGATGGAGAATAAATAGGTTTTTCTTGGCCTGTTGATTAGGTGCTTATCTCACCTACTTATTGACCCCTTTCTGCCATCAGCCTGACAAGTGACTGGGTTATGTATTTTGGATTTGAGTAAGCATATTTCAGTTTAGTAACCTTAATCTCCTGAGAGTCAGAGGCAGAGTCAGACTTTGCTCCCCCCGAGCTTGGCTTCTCTTTCTTTCTCTTCTGCTTCTTCTTCTTCCTCTTGGCCCCCAAATCTCCCCCTGGACTCCTGCAGATGTGAGAACAAACACACACAACACACACACCATCTGTTAAAGGGGGTTTAACACAGAGTCATGTCTAAGACTTCAGAGGACATAACATACATTACAATCAATGTAATTAATGATCTATATTATGGGGACTTGCTTTTTGTCCTCATAAGGAAGACATGTCCCTATACAGTGTTTGTGTTAACAGATTTAAAGGTTCAATGTGTAGGAGTTAGGTGAAAGGGATCAATTGCCAGCACTAATTGCTTAGTGATGTTTTCACTAGAGTATTTCATCTAAATTGTACAAATTGTTGTTTTCTTTACACTAGACTGGACCCTTTATATTTAAATACTTTATATCTACACCAGGAGCAGGTCCTCTCTACGGAGGCCGCCATGTTGTTTAAAGGAGTCCAAATTGGACAAACTAAACACCTTTTGAGTTTTTGTGAGAACTGTAGGCTGCCACAGGTTCTCTCTCATGTCTAGAAGGGGAGAGTGAGGTGAGGGGTGTCCAGCTGCAACATGAAACTTCACCACTGGGTGTCACTAAATTCTACACACTGAACCTTTAAATCCCCACAACATGAGGGATACCAGGACCACACACACGTTTGTACTTCTAACTTAGTGATGCCACTTATTGACATAATACATTTCCTAGCCCCTCACCCTAACCATCCAAACTAAATGCCTAACCCTAACCTAAACCTGATTCTAACCCTGAACCCACCCTCAAACAGCCCTTTGAAAAAGTGAGGACCGGCCAAAATGTCCCCACTCTGTAGCGTCTACGCTTAAAATGGTCCTCACAAAGCATGAGTACAGGAACACACACACACCAGCAGCAGCGCTACAGAGCTAACGTTAGCTACCATAGCAACGCCTGACAGCGGAGCTAGCCTAGCGTTAGCGAGCTAACGGTTCGTGTTAGCGGCTAGCTGTCATGATGTCACTCAGCCAGGACACTAGATTCATTTATTCCCCTGAAGGTTTAGCGTGTGTATAAACCCACAGCTGACGACAGCACACGGGTCTCACAACAACACATGTGCGGGCTGGAGGTGACGGCCCTGTGGCAAACAGCCTGGGTGTGTTTGTGTCGGCTAACGCTGGCCGCTAACTGCGCTAGCTAGCCATCCAAACACACACACACACACATACACATATATATATATATATATTTATATATACGTATAAACAGGCAGCGCACAAACAGGCAGCCCGGAATAGTGCGTCTCCCGGGCGGGGTAAACAGGCCGTCCTCACCCCTGCAGATGCTCATTCTCCTCCTCGTTGTCTCCGTCTATCCCGCAGGTGTCCTGGTCGTCCAGCTCCAGGCTCTGCTGACTGGCCGCAGACTCGCTGTCCTCCGCCATCACACAAAAATGTCTTTAAAAAAAAAAACAGTGAGCCGCCGTATGATGGAGAGAGAGCAGCAGACGAGAGAGGAAAAACAAAGACACCGCCGAGGGAAACAGCGCAGCCTACAGGCCAGTGGAGGTGCGACACATTCACACTCCCACTTTTTAAAATGAATGGTACCCGCGGTTCTTTAATTTTAGCTTTAAATAATAATTTATACTTCAATATACAAATGTGATATAAAACATGGAAGAACAATGTTGCTGTAAAATGTCTAGTTGGCCCCCTCACCCTATACATTAAGGAGATGGTTCACCCAAAACTGAAAATTCACTTATGATCTACTCACCACTGTGCCGATGGAGGGGTGGGGCTTACAGACACTTGGATGACACCACAGGAGCAGTATGGAGAATCAGCCACCAGTTACTTTAATTGTATTGGATCTGGCTGCAACACTGCTTACCCCTGAAGTGTTTTGTGGACTTAAACACTTTGCCCACCCCTTGCATCGGCATAGAGGTAAGCAGATAATGAGTGAATGTTCATATTTGGGTGAACTATCCCGTTAATAATTAAATCCCCCCACCACTTACACACAGCCTGCATCATTTGTTGTGGTTTTGTCTCCTTATGGTCATTTTGTGCCTGTTTTTTAAAATCCCATCATCACTTTGACATCGCTGTGGACATCCCTTCGATTTATGTCATTTTGTAACATAACGTTATTTGCCCTCAGCCTGAAAGTTACCCCTACATATAAGTATGCAAACACAGACACACAAAATCTTCCAGTTTGGCTGTTTATTCAGAATAATAGGCTTCAAATATAATGCAAGCAACTGATTTACACACACAGGATTGCTCTACTCCAACTGTACCCTCGGAGCGGAGGTTGCCGTGGGACAGAAGAGGTCGTTCACAACATCGATTCAAGCAACATTTTGAACGGGTAGAGAAAAGGAAAGAACTATACACTCTCTGATTGTTATGACTGTATGATTCTTGAGTGGATGTCTGTTGATTATTTGTCAGCACTCTCACATGAACACGCAGTCCGACAACACAAACTCACAGCCGGCAGCATCGCAGATGGACACTACCACCAACACACAGGTGCACATAAAACATTTGAGACAAACATTCACTCCCTCCAGAAACATAAAAATAAGGAAAATGCATTGAAATGACCTGAAGATTAGCTTTACATACAGTCACACTTAGCTTTATGTATCTTGTGCTACACTGAAAAAGAGAAATCGCTGCCTTGTTGATTGCTGTAGAGGATTTTTACTGTTGCAGCAGCTGGTAGACATTTTACTGAGATGTCTGCAGTGTAGCTTGTAGTGCGGAGGAAAGTTTTACTGCATGCTTTCTTTCACAAGAGGGAGAGAAAGGGAGGGCTGAGGTAGTGGAGGAAAGCTGAAGGCAAAAAAAGGTGAGAAATGAATAAGGTTGAATAAGGTTGTTCAAAAGGCACTTGGAACATTAGGAAATGATAGACATGAAGGGGAAATTAAGCGAAAAACAGTTTGGTTTCAGGTAACAGGTATGTACTAGTGTGTGTGTTTGTTTTTGTAACTAACAATAAGGCAGGTGAAGAAGAAAAGCCCTTAAAATATTTGAAGATAAAACAAAATAAAGAGCCTATTTTTGGTAAAATACTTCATGTTGGCAACTAAAACCATAGTGATTAAAATGACAAAAAAGGCATCTCAAGAAGACGTATAAAAGTGATGCATAGCCATCAGAACAAAAACAATATGCCAGTCAGTGGTTCACCAAATACAAAAAAAACCTTCATATTAATGCACCTCACAATTACTCTGGGTAGAGCTACAGTTCCGTAGTGGTCTTAGATCCTCATCCACCAGCGTAGTGGTGTGTCACATTATCTGATTACGCTGTAGAAGCGGATAGTGGTTTCATTTCTTCAGTTCAAAAACTTCATCCCCCTGTGGAGTTCATGTAAACAACCGTACAGCGTTCTTTAACTAGATTCAATTCTAGCAACATATTCAAAACTATTCAAAGTACAGGATTTACATGTTCACATCAGGGCTGATCATTGTGCAGGTGCATCCAACAGCAGCTGCTCGCACTAAAACCAGGAAAACATCAAAAAGAGTTAATTTCCAAACCAACTGTGAAAAGCTGCTCCATAATTCTAAAAATCAGTCTGAATGATTTCTAAATATGGGCTATAATCTTTCTTTCAATGAGGGTAGTGTGTTCCCAGGTTTTGCCAGTGGACTGAGGCCAATATGGCTCAAGAAAAAAACAAACACCCATCATCTGTTTCTACAGTTCATTTACACTCACAAGTCTATTTATAAAAAAGGCATATTTTGTTGTGCATAAAATATTCTCATTTCTTGCCATCAAAGTCTATTTGCCTTCCTCAGGCTGTGTGTACATCACGCTTGAAGAGTGGACTGTCTATGTAGTGTGTCGTGAGAATGACAAAGTGGACAGTGGTCACTTCCTGAAGGGAAGATGGAAGTTCATGAAGGATCGGAATCTCCCCCTCACGTTAAGGACCAGAGGGGATCCCAGTGCTGAAATACTCCTCAGTGCTAGCAAAAAAGAACAAAGAGTTTCATTTTAAATGGTCATATCCTTCATGTTGTAGTCCCGGCAGAGGGGGAGGTCGTGATCTAAGGATAGGTTCACTTTTTTTTAAATCTCAAATTTAAAGTGATATTCCTCATGGTTTGAGTATGGCCTGAGTTTAGGTTCCTTGCAAATTAGTTTATTGGACTTTTGCCTTTTGTAATTAGTTTTTTAAATTATTAAACTTTAACCCATCTGTTTCCTATTGAGAATAATAAAGAACTGAATTTCTGGATCAGAAAGAACAAGGAATGTGGTTTGCCATTGAAAATGATGATTTCTTCAGGGCCTAAATGGAAAGTAGGAACAACCAAAAAAACTTTCAATATGGGCATTCTGGGTATTTTAAAATTTTAAAAACATGTGAACCTATCCTTTAAGGGGCCATCTGTGGATCATTTCAGGTTGAAGGCCAGCAGGGGTCGCTCCTCTCTCTTCTGCCATGGACTCTTCTTCTCCTCACCATCCTCCTGCACTGCATCATCATCTGGAGATACTGACATCAGCGTGTGTTCAGACTGGAAAGTCTCTCCCTCTGGTGTCGGCAGAGGAGGAGGAGAAGCAGGAGAAGAAGAGGAAAGTGATGGGGGTTGCTCTTGTATTTGTACCGCCTGTACTCCTTTCCCCTCCACATCCCCCTGCCCCATTTCTTCTCTTTGACCCACTGCTTTGTCTGACAGGACATGTCCTGTTTTGATGTCCTGAGGGCTGCAACTGGATGTCTCCTCCTCGCTGCCTCCTCGATCCAGATCATCCACATACACCAGCTGAGTGTAGGTCATGGCTGGTGTTGTGCTCTTCGACCTGTCTCTCTCAATCCTTCTTTCCTTCCGCTCTGCATCTCTCCCCCTGCGACCCACTCTCGGCTCGTTCAGGTCCACGCCAGAGTCCAGACTGGCATCATTGCCGTTGCCATGCCTCCCACCTTGCTGACCTCCTGACACTGGCATGTTGTTTTGGCACCCCGCCCGCTGGAGGTCGATGTAGGAGTGGCGAATGTGAGCGTTGGAGCGTCCATCCAGTGAGACAAACCAGGCTCGTGGGTGAGGGAGAGGTTTTCCTCCTCTGAGCTCCATCAAAGTCTTTTCAGCCAACAAGGTGTCCTCACTGTTTATTTCCACTAAAGCTGTTTCGCCGAGAGCTCCTGGAATAGACAGAGACTCAGGCAGGCCACGCCCCTCTCGGTCGCCCTGCTTGGTGGGACCTGGCAAGCAGTCTGTGCGGGTTTGTCCCAGGGGCTGCTGGGAATGTGAGGCATTGAGCTCGGCCTGGATGGTCTCCAGGTCACTCTGTTGGTCAGTCTGCAACAAGAGGGCCTGACCGGATAGTGGGTGCTCCCCAGGAAGGCGCATGTAGTGTGCTGGGATCACCAGTGTGGGGCGCACCCTTGGGTATCCTTCTCCCCCACTCAGGAGGTCCACAGATCCACAGCAGAGCAGCTGACCTGGACGGGATAGCAACGGGGGGCTTGGGCGCTCCAGGTGGTCCACAGACCGGGACAGAAGGTAGTCAGGAGCCCTGCACTCAACTCCCTCCCCTCTAATGGGGGAGTGGGGAGGAGAGCAAGGGGAGATACAATCAACAATCCCAACATTGCTCAGCTGGTTAGCTGACACCTGACCATGAATGGCTGACGACAATGCATCTGAAATTGGGTTGCTGGACGAGCAGACGGAGGTGTATGATTGGCGGTAGCCCCGGTCTGTCCCAGATGAAAGTCCGGCCTTTAATTGGAACGTCTCCACAGACTGCCGGTAGTCTCTGCTGCGAGGCGTCAGGTTGCCAAGAGATGAGCCATGGTGGCTGTTGCCGAGAGAGGAGCGGCTGTGTTTGCTGTGATGGATTAAGCTGTGCTGACGCTGATTGTCTTGATGCTCATATGAGAAAGGCTTCAGCATCGGTGTGGTCATGTCAGGCTCAGTTGCTGTAGAAACAAGTTCCAGCTGCACCTTAAACAAAAACAGTAAGAAACTATTTAAATATTCACATAGAAAACACTGTATATGTAATTTAATCACAGGGAAAGAGCAGAGACAGTTTTGATATATCCATATGTTCTATATGTGCTTTTTCTGCCAACCAAAGGCTTGCAAAAAACACAGGGTCAGCTACAATACAGCACCTCCCTGGAACTGAGTGGGATTTTGTCACTTTTCTTGACAAACATGGGCCAACATAAGAGTTTGAACCAAGCCAACCAGGTCTCAATTCTAAAGGTACTCCCTCCATTTGATATCTACATTACACATTAGTGAATAAACTCTTCACTGAATGTCAGACAGACCTCATTGCTGATGAGGTTGAGGTGGGACATGGAGGTGGCTTGGTCCCTCTTACTACTGTCCAGACCGGAGGACATTGTGAACTTGCGGCGAGACCCTCGAGGCTTCAAACAACGACGCCTGCACAACACAGAATACAAAAAGAGCAGAGGTTAAATAAAAATTAATTTGAGAAATCAGCTTCTTCCATAAATAAACCTTTTGACAATTAACAAAAAAGGCACTTTTACTGGACTAACAAAGTGCCAGTCTGTTTTAAGTGAGCTAAAATCTGCATTACACCATTTGTGCTGCAACTAGGACAAACAGCAGCCTGACTAACTATGCACCTCCATGGGAATTTTGATGAAGATGAAGAACAGGTATAGGTATGTATAAAAGGAATGAGCCTGAGAGTTTAAACCTTTTCATTATGTTAATGTTAGTTTTTTTAATTTGCAGAAATATGAACAATTGATTCAGATCAAACCCAGCGCCTACATATTTGTTTCAGTTACATTATGGAAGAGCAATACTATACCAAGAGATACTATCGCTAAGGTGATGGCTGTTCCTGTGCAGTTGTTTAAGCACATAACTGGACATTATCGACAACAATCACAGTATTAAAGCTTAAATAAACCCTAAGTACATTCAAATTTTCCAAATAACCAGTCAGAAGACCTGACTCATTTTTGTTCAGTCTTGACAAGCTTCCTCCATTTAGAGACAAATCTGATGAATCTCTGACAGTCTTAAAGATGCAACATATTTCTGTAGAAAGGTTGTTTGGCAAACCTGCAGTAGTACAACAGAAGGCACAGCAGGCAAAGCAGAATGAGAGCCATGCCTCCCAGTATGGCCAATAGAAACACAGTGTGGTATGTGCTGATATCCTTCGCAACCACTGGATCTGTAGGAAGGAAAATATGAAACTGTCTGCAAAACTGACTACTTATGGAATGCATCATTGTGAGCACATGTGGATGTGACACTGCCAAGAGAGTTATGTCTGGTTTAACGTTATATTTTTTATAGTTTCTAGTGTAAATACAATCAGTGTCAAAGTGGTTTATCACCTGAGTGCAGTGGTGACATGGCGGCCACCCAATATCCTAGCTGAGGAGCAATGTAGGTCAGACTGAGCTGGTTGCCCTCCTTCTGCACATGACCCCAGCTGCTCTTTATCCAGGCACCTGCAAACACACACACACACGCACGATCACAGAGCTTGAAATCAAATTCTCAACATTTATTCTGTGTCAGCCCCACCTTCACTGTGTGAAGACAACTGACATGACCTGCAGGAACCTCCCATCTGACTCTCAGTAACTCAATAAAGCAGCTCTCCACTTTACTTCATTTATCTAAGTAAACTAGTTACGTTTAAGGCCAAACTATTCAATAATGTGACAGAGGTAAACTCAGTTATCAGGGTCACCGCAGGGTTAGTTAAATCTAAACACATTTAGAACACCACACAGTTTCATTATCAGACCTAACACAGTAGGGTGGAAAAATAGTCGGGGTGATTATGGCTAACAGTTATTATTTTAATATAGGATTTCCTGTATCTGGTACTGTTACTAAACCCTTTGAAGTTACTTGACAACCACTTTATTGGCAACAGCCATGATCACACCATGTTTCATCCAAAACAACAACACACACACATCCGAATGAATATAATGTAGCTAGAAAGGCACTCAGTAGAGAGCTTACATTCACCAAGGCCAAAAGTCCCCATTGAAACCACATTAAAATTAACTGGATCCAGATTTTTATGTGGATCTGCACTCAGATCTGTAATAGCTTTCATCATGTCCCACCCTTCCACTAAATTCCAAAGAAATCGGTTGAGCAGTTGTTGCATAATTCTGAACAAACAAATAACAAAACAATATTTTCTTGGTGGAGGTAATTAGTATGCAGAATATCTCTTACTCAATACCTAGCTGTATATTATTCATTATAATATAATTAACCAAATGAATGGAACATGAATCCAGACAAGGATTTGAAAGTAAAGTAAAATGATTAAATGATTAATTCATCTAATTTAATTAAGTTTTTCCTGAAATTGACACTTTCCCATTACAAGACCGTGAGCTTCCTTCCATGCTACAGGTCTTGTGGTGGTGCTAACTGAACCACTCTCCCACCACCACACCCATACACTAAAAACAACCCACAATCCTACTTGTACTTCATAACTTCCCCCAACAGACCACAATTTGGTACAATAACATTATGTATGCAACTACCATTAAAGGCTACAGCCAGACTTTTAATACCTTCTACATACCTTATTTTTCCTGAACTGAATTTAATGCTTTTTGAGACAATTTTAGACACAATCAGGAGATACCCTGATGAGTATCTGGGAAACCGCTGATTCAAGCTCATGAATGTTAGAGAGGAGGGAGTGTTGTGGCAGTACCTTTCCACAGGGAGGCAGTGTTTTCTGTCCAATATCAGAGGGAGCCAATGAACAGAAACACAATGGCAGCTCCAACCATACCAGTGCCAAGAACCACAACAAAGCCAAAAGGACTGACTGATTGGTTCACAGTAAATCTGCACCAAGAGGAAGGGATACACCCCCCCCCCCCGAAAGTCTCAGGGTTAGCATCGTGACAGCTACTTTGTTCCTATGTTTATTTGTAGTTGCACAAAAAGAAGTCAGGAGTCAGCATCAATCTTCAAGAGGGAGGAAACAAAACAAGAAGGAGAGGATATTCAAAGAAAGACAAATACATACGGAAAGGGAAGAGGGGAGAAAACAAGGAAGCAAGAGGGGACAAATGGAAGGAGAGATAAGGGAAAATGCAAAAGAAACAGAGGCAGGGAGAAACTAGAGAAGCTCTGTGACTCAGCATCACAGGCCTGCACACGCACACACATGCACACACACAGCCCAGCTCTACCCAGAGTCACTCCAGTTCTGTCTTTTCAACAGGGGGGGGGTTCCTTCTCTGTGCGACTGACCTGGCTCATCATGACGTTTAATGACTGTTCCCACGCTTCCATACAATACAGTGCTGACAGTCTGACAACTGCTCAGACACAATACAAACAGCTATAATGTCAATACAGTTTGCATATGACTTCTGCTTTGAAGCCATTCATGCAAAGTCAACACAGCTGACGATGGGGCTTTTTACTTCAGCACTTGCATCATTCATAGATAGCAGTCGGCTCTTATGTGCATCATCTGACTCCTCTCAGCATGAAGGTGTGTCTGTTTATGAATAACACAAACGAACTTGATCTGTTTAAATATGACATCATTCAGCCCAATGCTCACTTGATGTCTCACAAAACATGAGGTTGTCAGTTATACAAGAGAAACAGGTTTTTGTGTGCGTGCGTGTGGTCCATGTGTGCACTTAGTAAACAAAACTGGCTTCTTTGTGAGGAAGTTTTTATCAGCCCGAATCTTTCCTCCAAAGGGCACCAGACAGATTTCAAAGTTCTTTCTTTGAGTGTCTTTTTTGTCCTCAGTTTAACTCATATAAAAGACACACACACAGTACCACTCAGTGAAGAATCTCAATCAGGAGTCGGGTCTTTCTGTTGTGTTACTTATTTGGTGGGTTGCTAAGGAACATGAGATGTGGCCCGGAGAGGGGTACAGGGATAGCTTCTGTTGTGGAAATACTTGCCACTACAGGCTGTGCATAGGCTACGTGTGTGTGTGTGTGTGTGTGTGTGTGTGTGTGTGTGTGTGTGTGTGTGTTCTTTCAGTTTTATCTAAGCCCTTTTTCTAAGCTTTGGAAGTTCATACATTAAACTAAGCCCTGAAATCCTTAAAAACCATCACAAGAGAAACCATGGTTGAGATTTTAAACAAACCATTGGCCCAATAAAGTTTTCCTTTCTTAGCTTGAATATTTTAAGGGGATATTTGGAGAATGTTTAAAGTGGAAGACATTTATGAGGCATGCAGGGGTAATGCGTCAATCCACTCTGCAACAACTGTTCTCTGCCTCTTTCAGCTTCCCCCTCAACTTGAAGATAACATATTTAGAATTGTTCCATGTAAAAAGGGATTTCCTTGTTTATTTGTCAGATTGGTTATGATCAGAGAATAACTCAGTCAGGGTCTAGGGCTGTACAAACTAAATATGCCCGTCACAATTCCTCCAAGCCAAAGGTCACATATTCAAATTGTGTTTTTGGTCCAATCAACGGTCCTAAATCCAAAGGCTCTCAGTTCAATCATATAAAGGACAAAGAGAGGACTAGGAGAATTAGGGTTGTGTCAATGATTCCAGTGTCTCTGCTGTAACATAGAAAATGATATTTGTTACTTGCTATTTTTTGGGATTGATGCCCTTATCCATTTTTTCACCCTGTCCATTATGTCCCCAAAATGTATTAAAGGCGGGTTTAAAAAAGATTTGATTACCAAAATTGCTCCACATTTTGCTTTTGAACTACAAAGACGATTATATGACTAATCTTTTCCACTCTGGATCAAACAACACGGTACCTTTTTGTTTTACCACAAGAATTTTAATAGGCCCAGACAGACCTTTCTCCTGCACTTGTACAGCATGAATGTAAAGTGGAGAAACAGTAGATGTGGAAATATAACACTAATGTACACACAGCGCGAAGCTTTGTAGTGGAGACATATCTGACTGATCGACTGACGATCTAATGGCTGTGTTTCTGCTCGGCCTGTCCAATAGGAGCTGGGCGTGTTATTCATGGTGCAGGATGTCTGACAACACAGATTTAAGACGGTTGAAATCAATCTTTGGGTCCAGAGAGGTTTGAAGTGTCTCTGCTACAGGACTACAAACTAATATGCTCTCAAGATTAAACTGAGTTTGAAAAGATTAGGCATCCATGGTCCAACCTTGTGATGTGTCGCAGTACTCATGTTTTAATTTGCAGATTAATGTGGTGCCGTATTTTTCTAACTTTTTTCTGTGACCTTATGAATAAATCCATTCACTGTGTTAATGTGCTCGTGGTTCGAGTTAATGCTCCTTTTTTTCAAATTTTACAAATCATTTACCCATGGAAAGCAGGCTTCATTACTGTAGTTAATAATTTGCTGCATTGCACGCTCACAACAGTTGACTTTGTTCTTCATAAAGTTTTGGTGTTTGTTTTCAGTACATACCCAAGCGGGGGTCAAATCTCCAAGCAGGGATGTGATCATTTTCCTTCAGGCCGCTGTCAGCCGGCAGGGGCACAGACACGGTGATTGGCTCGTTCACTTGCAGCTCCACACCGTCGCTGGCCAGTAGATGAACAGAGATGGCTGCTACGGGAGTCAACTCAATGTTCTTCTCAGCTCCTGTGAGTGAAGCAGGGAAATTGTAAGAGGGAGAAACATGTACCAAAAAGCAACCAAAGTGGGAGTAAGGTGCACAGGAGGGGGAGCAAGGAAAAAAAGTGGGCAGCAGGAGGCGGGGAGCAACATAAAACAGTGTAGATAAAGGAGAGCTGTCAGGGGAAAGACAGACAGGAAAGAAAACAAAGGACAGACAGGATAGAAGGAAATGTGCTGGAGAGTGAAAAAAGAGAGTGACCAAGGTTGGAAAGTGTCACAAAGCACAAGTATGTCGGTGCTGCCTGGAGGGAGATGAGAGAAGACGCACAGTGTGTGTGTGTGTGTGTGTGTGTGTGTGTGTGTGTGTGTGGGGGGGGCTTTTGAGAGGTATTCAAGCTGAAGGACACACAAAATCATACAACACACATACAAAGACACACCAAAACGTGGATGCCTGAAAGCTCGCAGACACGGGTCTTGTGTTATAACGGAAAGCACACACAGGGGTTATTGTGTTTCAGGAGGTCAGAAGTAGAGGCCTCTCCAGGGTAGCATCTCTCTGATGTACCTCTGCTTCTACTCTTCACTCCGCATCCCCTCCCAGTAGTCTTCTTCCCCTGTCAACAACACCCAACTATCGTGGAGTCTTAAAACTGCTTTGAGCTGTTTGCCAGTTCCAGCCTCACCTGTGCCATTGCCGCTGAGGACCTGCAGGTGGGGGAAGTGCTGGATGTGTGGTGGGGAGCTGGCCACGGTGAGCAGAGCCGTCAGGTTGGCATAGGAAGTGTTGGCAGGAAGGCTCAGAGCTCTGCGCTGGAAATGAACATTAGGCTGACGTCTAAAACCTGCAGAGTAACAGAAATACACATACATCAGAAACCATGGAAACCTCTAATTCATATCCAGTGGTTTCATTTTTATAGTTTAAAAAATATTTTAAAACATAAACAAAGATGACATGAATAAAGTAACATTAGTCTAAAACAAACTGGGAGCATGGCAATTGATTGTTTTGTATGTTTTTAACATAGCCCTGCTGACCTAGGAGGACCACAGTTATATTTTTTCCTGTCATCTCTTCGCGCTCTCTAATGTAGGCATAAAATTCCCTATAAAAATCCATCCATCGTCTTCCACTTATCCAGGCATGGGTCATGGATGTAGCTGGCCAAGTAGGGTATCCCAGAAATCAGTCTCTCTTTCCACACTTTCCAGCTCTTCCTGGAGCATCCCGAGGTGTTCCCAGGCCAGATGGGATATGTAGTCCCTCCAGGGAGTTCTCCAACCCGGGGTCTCCTCCTCATTGGGTGTTAGCGCCCTGGAGGCATCTTATCTAGAACCACCTCAACAGTCCCCAGTCCCTCTCATTTCAGCCGCTTGTATTCACAACATTGTTCTTTTCGTTCACTACCCAGAGCTTGTGACCATATGAAAATATATATACACCAAACAGAAGTTCTTTGGATTGTAAATATTTAAGAAGTTACTTCTTTAACTGTTTGCTAAAGATATTCAAAAATGATTTATCACTTTTCTTTGAAACTTTGTTATATGAGCTATTTTTTTCTAGCAGACAGAGTGTTTTACTTTACAATATACAGTCACCCATTCACACACACAATCATACAGGGCTTCTATATATAGCACTCTATCACACACCATTCAGACTCTGCCAGCAAAGCCGTCAGGGGCGATTGGGTTCGGTTTCTTGCTCGAGGATGTTCCTCCTGAGCTACAGCTGCTGCAAACTTAACTTCCTATTCCAGTTGCCCTGTTAAATTTAATGGAGAAATCTGAACTCAAATCCCCAAACTTCCCATACAGTAAACACATTACACAGCAATTTTCTACTCCTCGTCTTTGCCTAATGTGTTTTCATAAATTCACTATCAAATCAGGCTTAATGGAGGTAACTCTGGATCAGTGCAGTAAATATAATGCATTGCTCTCCCAGCCACTGTGATGCCTCTTTTTGATATTTTGCCATGCAATTAAATGTTTCTTTTTCATTTGTCTACATCCCTGCATGAGACCAGTCTCTGTTTCGACGTTAATGAATTACGGATGAAGAGCAATAAACAGTAAAATCTGCTTGTAGCTGGACTCAGCAAGGTGATGTCATTGTGGTCCGACTGTGCCGAGCACACATTCCTGAGCAGTGAGACACAGATCCAGCTGTATATGAATGTTCACCATGTTTGTGTTTCTAGTTCGAACTCTACATGAAGTCTGGCTCTGCAGAGCGACCGGATCTTTTCACTTTGAAGTTTGGTCTTGTTCTTCAAATTCCAGTGTCATTTTTCCTCTGTGGCTGTGTTGGTGAAAGAAATTGACCAAGTTTCTGTTCTTTGTCCGATGGCTTCCGCAACTCCTCTCTTCTTCTTTCCCTCCACTTTTCTTTCACCTCATCTGTTCCTCCTTCTGTTGGACACTGTGCAGCCCATCCCCCTTTCTCCCTTTCACCCCTATTCTCTCCGACAACTCCACCCACAACCTCACTTCCCAGCACATACTGTATCATCCTCCTCCTCACGTTCTGCCCCCCCTCTTTTATTCTCTCTCCTCGTGCCACACGCCAAGTTTATCACCCCCCTGGGCGCCTAAGTTCACAACATCATGACAAACAGTGTGTCGAACAGAGAGAACACATAATGCTCCACTCAGGCATTTACTGTAGGCAAGAGATTTTACATGTTAATGGCGTCTGTGTATTTATGTGATTTGTCCGATGTTTCTTTGCAAGACAACACAGCTGACATGTTAAATTACTCCAGAGACACACAAAAGACCAAGCAGACGAAACGACCAAATTGATTTTGCCTGAGTGAGAAAGCCTTATCTAATATAATTACCTTAACAAAGAGACTGACTAACAAAGACAGACTCTTAATGTATACTTGTGTGTGTGTGTGGCCGGAGGAAGGTGGATTTTTCAGGATCTAATCTATGAGATCTCACTTAACAATAGGTAATTTAATATAGAGTTTAATTATCTCAACTTTTTATAAAAAAAACTGTATATAAATAAACCAGTGTTCATTCTGATTGTTGAGTGGGGTGAATGGCTGAGAATCTAATTTTAAAAAGATTAAGAGTCTAAAGTCATATTAGAATGCAGATGTTTAATGTTTGCCATCTCAGTATAGCTGATCATAAGCTGCCTTTAGACATGCAGTGAAAAAGAGGTGCCATACACATGGCTGTCGATGCAGACGTAAACTTGGAAAGACAAGATTCGGGAGCTTTTGGTTATAAGGACCACCACTGGTGTCGATGTCCTGTGAATAGAAGACGTTTACCGACTAGAGTCGAAACCCGGGAAATTTGGGTCCAGACATTTTCCAGTTTGCCTTTCACATATGAGGAAAGCTGCAGGAGATTGTTCTCATGTCAATACGCTGTAATTTTGATTTTCATAGCTGAATGTATACACCATGGTCTGCCTCCAGCATGCCCTACCCAGATGCCACTTATCGCTTGAAGTTGCTGTCTGAACGCATATGACACTGACAAATTCCTGCTACGTTCCTCATACGAGAAAGACAAACTCCCGAAAATGACCCAATTTTCCAGAAAACAGCTTTAAAATAGCATGTTGACATGACAGTGAATGGGAAAGTGGTCTCAGACTGTACACACACACACACACACACACACACACACACACACACACACACACACTTACACTTCCCTGCGAGT